TCCCGCCCGCAGCCTCCGGGCTGCGGCTCCCGGTCCCTTCCCGGCCAGCGCCGCATCTGCACCCGGCCCTTGCAGCCTGCGAGCCTGGTCCTCCGCCCCGGGCCCAGACCCCGCCCCGGCCCTCTCACCCGAGTCGGCACGCTCGGTCCCCTCCCCGCTCTGCCTGCGCCTCTCGGCGCTCCGGTCTCTGTCACCTCTGCCTGTGCGCCTGCACTCTGCGGTCCTTGTCCTCTCCCAGCCTGTGCCCGTCCAGGCTGGGTTTCTGTCCCCTCTCCGCTTGCTCTCTTCCAGGCTCGGGTCTCTTGTCGTCACCTCTCTGAGCTCCTCTAGGATGCGGTCCTTGTCCCTGTCCACTTGCGCCCCTGGCTTGAGTTCTTGCCCTGTCTCTGTCTGCGCCCCTCCTGTCTGGGGCCTTTGTCATTTCTCTGCTCGCACATCTCCAGGCTGAAGCTCTTGTCCTCTCCCCGCCAGCCCTGGTTCGGGACCTGTCCCTCCTCTGCCTGTGCCTCTCTGGGTCGAAGTCCTCATCCCTTCTCCTCCCCGGACCCTCCGGGTTTGGGGCTCAGCCCTCTCTGCCTGCACTTTAGGCTCGGGTTCCTGCCCCTTCCGCTCTCCTCCGTTCCTCTCATGTGTCCCTGAGGCTTCTGTCCCATCTGTGTTCAGAGCCCCGCCCTGACTCAGGCCCAGGGGTGGGGGCGGCCTTTCAATGGCAGCTGTGGGCTTAGGGTCCCAAAGCCTTGCTGCTGAGGTCCCGGGGAGGCGGCGGCGGCGGTGGTGGCGGTGTGTGTTAGGGGTCAGCCGGCTGGCTTTGTCTTAGGCCTCCCCGCCCTTCCAGCCCCCACCTCTCCTCGGCACCGCCCTGGGCGGCGTGCTGTCATACTGTGGTCCGTGGCCCGGGGCCAGCCAGTCTCTTTCTTTCAGTGGCCTCTCCCTGGCGACCTGAATGTGCCCAGCCTGGAGTGCTTTTCCTTGTTACATGTGGAGCCCCTTTCCCATTTAAAAAAAAAAAAAAATTAAAGCGTTAAAAAAGTAATATTAATGTGTGATGGAGTGGATGGCAATTATAACGAAGTTTGCTGCTCATTTCCAGGTGTATTGTGTTGGAATT